TTGGTGTGCTGTTATTATTAATGTTGCTACTGGCCAATAGTTCAATAGTTTTCTCTCTGATTGCCCAGCTCTAAAAGTCTTTTGCCTTCTTTAAACGTGAGGCAGGCACCCTTATTCTCTCGGTTTCAAAGAGAAGCAGAGAGGAGCTAGTTCCTTTGCCTAGAGGACGAGCAGAGCTAGTACCCTGACCAGGCAGTCCGCCATCAGAACCGTGCTCTCAACTACTTCACTACACTGCCATACCATGAAACATGAATCCCAAAATTTAGGGTGTTAAAAAGAAATGATCACCATTTATTCTATCTTTCTAATGATTTTGTTGTTGACCTTTCGGTTTTCAAATCAAGGAATCCTTTATAAGAAAATGTGTTTTGTTTTGTTTTTACTGTATTTAAGTATAAACGCTAAGTAAAAACTGTTTACAAAAACCTTCCCAAGTAGAGATTCTACTCACAGACAAAATTTGCTTCAAGTCAGCAGATCTACTTTTGCATACAATATGCGTAAGTTTATTACAACAATTCCTTCTTCTCAGGCTTCTTTACATTACGAAAAATTTCCTGTTAAGAGTAACATTTTTTCCCTCTGACCCACATTTAATTATAATGAGTTCCCATCAGTCATTCTGAATCCATGTATATCCAAATTTTCAAATAAGAAAACTACAGTTCAAATATTTAGTTCTCTTGAAGTTGCCTCCGGCCTCAGGCTGGATCTCACAAACGTCACGGTGTATTTCTGTGCAGATAAGAACTTTACATTTAACATAGGAATGTTGGAACTTTTAGAGGCCTCAGCTGGGTTGGCTTTATAAAATGAGCAAAAAGTGGCCCCCATATAGCTTCTGTCAATGACCTTTGATGCAAATGTTCCATGATATATAAGCTCAAGATGGCCAGTCACTTGAGACTTATTAAGATTGACTAATATGAACTGTTATTTCCTAGACTGAAGTGCATTATACAAACATTCTTTAGGTTCCTTTGAAACAGACCTACACATATATGGACAACTGATTTCAACAAAGGTGCCAAAACAATTCAGTGAGAAAAGGAAAATCTTTTCAACAATCTCACTGGAACAACTGGGAAAATTTGCTAAAAAATTAACCTTGACCTCTATCTTACCTAATCCATAAAAATTAATTTGAGATAGATCATAGACCCAAAGCATAAAAGTCAAAATTATTAGGCTTTTAAATAAAACACAAAAGGATATCATCACAACCTTGGGGAAGCAGATTACTTAGGAAACAAAAGGTATAGTGATAATATAGGGGGAATAATTTGATTGATGGATTTACTTCAAAATTAAAACCTGCTCATCAAAAGACATTTTTAAGAAAATGAAAGGTAAGCCACAGACTGGGAGAATGTATTTGCATTATAAATTTCTGACAAGAGAATTTGACCCAGAATATGTATGTGTGTGTATATATATATATATGTATAATTCCTACTGATCAATAATAGTAAGACAATCTAATTTAAAAATGGCCAAAGAAAATTAAACACAGGTAAGAGATGGAACAGATACTTCAAAAAGGAAGATAATACAAAGGGCCAATAAGAACATGTTAGTTATCCAGGAGATATAAATTAAAAATCATGAGAGATGGCTTCATATCCAGTAGAATGGCTAAAACTAGAAAAACTAACAACATACAAATGCTGAGAAGGTACTGGAGCATCTGGAACTCCAATCCAAACTACTCTGGAAAGCTACTTGGAAGTTTCTTATAAAAATAAACATAGACCAGCAATTAAGCCTAAATCTAAGAAGGAATCAGAGTGAGAGAGAATATCCACAGCAGCTTAATATTCATAAAAGCAAAAGCCTATTGGAAACAATCCAAACATCAGCAGGAAAATGGACCCACAAATTGCGTCTATTTAACAGACTACTACCCAGCTATAAAAAAGAATGCTCGATACAATATCATAAAACCATGGAGTAAAAGAAGCCAGACACAAAAGAGAACATGCTCTATGATTCCATTTGTATGAAGCTCAAGAACAGAAAAAAAATACCCTACAGTTACAGAAATCAGGAAGTATTTGCCAGTGGGGATGGAGACTGACTGGATGGGGGGATGAGAAAACCTGGGTGACAGAAATGTTCTATATGTTAACTTGGGTTTGGTTACACGAGCATACTTAAGGTCAGTATATTCTACTGCATGTAAAGTTTATATCAACTAGAAAGGAGGGCCAGCAGGACTCCCTGACTGTTTTGACAGCCCCAGGTCCTCCTGCAGAATGTGATTTGGTTTAAACTCTTTGACCCTATCAAACAGGGGCTGTACCTGAGTTACTTTCAGTTTGACAACTATCATGGCTGCCTCATTTCTTTGGGAGTATGCATGCAGGGTATTTTCTCCAGAGTAAAAGGAGGAACTTGCTGGTTTTCCTCTCATCCAGCAGTAATAGCCAATCAATATTCCACGTCCCAGAACCCAAGCAGAAGTGTTCTAAATTATTACAGTCATACAGTGTCCTTTTTAAGGCCCATCATTTTTTCAGTAGACAAATGACAACCTGCACATCACATATTTCTTCCTTCTAGTATGTTATGGGGATGGATGAGAGACAGTGGATTTGGGAAGAAGGGCATCTGGGACAGGCTGATGGTCTTCCTTCTGGACAATGAAATTACCAGCATCTTCTGCCTGAGAGCTCACATCTTCGGAGCTCAGGATATCTCAGTACTTCCCATATCTGCTTCCAGAGGCATGGCCTCAGAAGGCATGCTCTTTGATCTAGGACTGTCCAGAAGGCTCTAAGCTGGTAAACAGCTTACAGGATACAAAGATCAGATACCAGAGGATCTTTATTATCTTCAATTGCCCCTAAGCCACTACACAAATAATAATAAATATCCAACAGTACTACTTTGCAAATTTTAGAGATACTTTTGGGGCTCCCAGTATTATACTAGAAATCAGGGTAGGCCTGAGAAGATTCTGCTTTAGGTTCAATCACGTTGGGGAAACTGGCCCTAACTGGATCTAGGGAAGATCTCCAGAAATTTTCCACAAGGAAACAGCTAGTTTTCCCAATTGAAATGAGAGTATGGTAAGATTAGAAATATTAATTCAGAGTTTCTTCTGAGACACAAATGGATACCACTGTGTCAGGGAAGTTAGAAGACTCATTAGTTAACATCTAATTCTTCCTATCTTCATAATAACTACTATACATTTGAGGAACTATGTAACAAATATGAGAAAGGGATGACTGATACACATTTGGAATTTTTTCAAAGGAAATGGGAAGGGAGAATATGAGATGCTTCTTTGATGTAGAAAGGGAAGTATGGTGATCCATCCACAAGGGAATAAAAGCTATAGAAATGAAAGAAGAGATTCTCTCAGAAACTCTTGTTCCAAAGGGTGGAGAAGAAATTAAAAAGTAAGCATATCTACATCTATATTTGTATTAAGTAAGATAAGGAATTACTGCTACCATTACTTCCATGAATTTTTTTAAATGATTAAGCTGGATGTTTTACAAGATGTATCTTTTCTTCTAGCAATAAAGCTAGAAGAGCCTCTGAGAGGTCTCTGTGATTAATGACTACAGCCTCCATGGCCGGAAAGCACATCTTTGTCTAGTAACATCAGCTCATTGTTTCTATTTTGAGGGTTAGTTTTCCCAAACCCCAATACTCACTGCAGTTACTGTGTCCGCATCTAACCTTTTCCCTGGCTAAAGGCATTTCTGATTTAATTCTTCAGACATATTTCTGACATGTCAACAAATGAAAGAACTTCCCATTTGTTATGGACTGATTGTGTCCCCCCAAAGTCATGCCAAAAATCTCAATTTGATGGTATTAGGAGGTGAAGCCCTCATGTATGTGATTAGTTCCCTTATAAAACAGACCCAGAGGGCTCTCTTCCTCCTCCCACCAGATGAGGACACAGCAAGACGATGGCTGTCTATGAAATGAGGACTAAACTTCTGTTGTTTACAAACCACCCACCCAGCATGGTACTTGGTAATAGTAGCCTAAACTAAAACACCATTTCAAAATGGTGCTCAGGGCACAAGGAAGATTTCATTATAGTTACAAAAAAGTATATATACCAACTACAATAAAAAGACTATTAGGGGCCTGAGAAATTTCAACATATGTCTAGAAGCCAAAAATGATGAATAAGTACTGGCTGATGAAGCTGAGCAGAGGTAACTTACAGCCCAGAAAGTTCTCAGAGAGTTGCTGCTAAGGAGAGAGATAACTGGTTTACCCAGTGAAACACCAAAGAAGCTCTAGACTCAGAAAAGTAAGTACAATATGGATAGAAAGACAAGAAGGGTAGAAAGGAGAAGATTAACGGACAGGTGCAATCTACAACTGTTCCTTCCATGCCTAATTCCTGTCTTTATCAGAAACAACAAACATGATAGAACTCCAAGGAAAAACTAAAAATTTTAAAAGGGAGATGATTCTCCAAAAAAATTAAACAAAATGTCTGGTGAGGACAAACAGTCAGTGTGCTTCTCTGAGAACGCCGAAGTCAAGCCTCCTTCAACGCGGACGTGGTCTGGCTCCCCAGCACGAGGCTGGCTCTGTGCCACCAGGGCGAACCTGTCTGTGGCAGATGCATCCACACACACGGAGCCTGGTTGGCCGCAGTGCTGCTTCATCTCTGTGGGAGTGAAGGGCCAAGGAAGGGCACGCACAGTGCAACATAAAAGTGGAAAACCAAGATCAACAACAACAACAAACCCCAGAAGGAACAGAAAATTTAAGGGAGTGAAGATATTCTACAAAGAAATCAATAAACAACTTTTATCAGTGTCCCCAGAAGTATCTGAGAAGTAATAATTATATAACATAACAAGAAACAACAATCAAAGAGAAAGATCTACAGAATTTAAGATGTGGCCCCAAACGACAAGTATTAGTGGAATATGACATGCACCTGCCTGGGTATCCTGACCCCCCCCCCAGCTCTGACTCTGATGATTTAATTCTGTGACACAGACAATACTTACCTACAGCACAGTCAGAAATTTAAAATGGACATGTTCATGGTGAGAAGACATAATGCCTCATTGTTCAAGAAAACTTGTGTCTGTTTTTAACTCCTCTGCTGACTTGCAGGATGACCTTCTCTCATTACCTGTCTGTCCTTTCCTACTGAAAGAGAGAAACCAAAGGTCATGTTTTTACAATGACACAATGAAGTATTAAAGAAAATATTAACAAGTAAAAACTAGCTTTATATGAAAACTTCAAGATCCTAAAACATGTTAATGAGATACATGTGTAATTTTCCCTGTAGAACTTCACAAAGATAAAACATCCCTTCCCATCTGGGTGATTTGCATGGATTACTGGTTCAAAACCTTACTGGTCCCAAAGCCTTCTTTTTATCACCAAAAATTCTATAATGCCCTATTAACCATCCTGAAATAAAATGCACTGATAAGTACTAACTAGTATATCAATACCCTAAACATAATACAAAGGAGAAACTAAAAGAAAAGCAATTTATAATAAAAACACTATATATTTCAATATGTAAATAATTTTCGGGTCCAATTAGCTATGTATTGAAAGAGATGCTTATAAGTTAGAAAGAACAGGTTTGGATTAAAAGAAATCAAATCAGCAGCCTTCCCTATCAGAAGTACAGGAGAACAAAAAAGTAGAGGTGTAGGTGAACAACATAATGAAAATGAGTACATTCTATCTATATTAAAAGTATGCCAAAGTTATCTTGTCTTTTTATGTAAAATGGAGTTGGGTCTAGTAATTATAGACTGATTTTTCACTGCAGAAATACCCAACCGTGCAGCTTAAAGTCATGTGAGATACAGTGCAATTCTTCTGTCTCTTCCATTGCGGAACATCTTACATCTCTGGCTCCTACCTATTAAAAGCTTTACATTGTAAAACCAAACACCATCCCAATTTCTACTACATTCTCTAGGGGGCAGTACTGTTCCCATAAGAACCCCTGGCTAGATAGCAGATAGGAGTTTCCTTCTAGCCTTCATATTCCGTCATAGAGAATCAAATCCTAAAGGACAAATCAGCAGCATACCTAAGAAATACATTAATGTGAGAAATGACTATGAATAAATTATTTATGCTTGTGCATTAACTATAGCCATATTCATTATTTCCTCCTTTTGAATTCAACACAATTGGTTTCTCCATACAGAACATGGAGTGAAACGCTGTATCTTTGTGACAATTAGATAGCACAAAGTGATTCTGATTTTTAGAATGTTTAACATTCAAATCTGGTTAATTAATGATAAAAAGGGAGTTTTTCATAGAACTCTACAACTCTCATTTCCTCAAAACAAGAATTAATGCATTCTTTCACATGTGGTCATCACAGGAAGAGGGGGGGAACCATTTACTGTAAATGCCTTTCTGATGCAATTCTACCGCCTCTTTCAAAGAGAGAATTCACCCAAGAAGCCTTAGTCACTTCTTCAAGAAAAATGCCACTGCACTGAATGTACACAGAATAAACCTGAGGAGAGAAGTCGAGCTCATCCCACCACTGGGAAACGTGAAGAGACAAGTGGCAGAGGGGAGAGCTCGTGGCACAACAGGTTAAGCATTAAATCTCAGAATTTGGCCTTTAATACAAGGTTAAATCTGACACAAATATAACATCATCATTTCACAAATCAAATGCAAACATTTTCATTTCCCCCCAACTTCTAAAGCATACTTCCTAAAAATATAAGACCAGTAACCTATGTGTAATTAGTATCTTAGTAACTAATATAGTTATTTCATTTAAAAAATTTCATGCACAAAAAAGAAAAATGGAATCCTATACTTTAGTATTTGAAAATGAAAATGACATTCTGAAGAGGGTGGATTTCACATCAAAAAGATGATATACTGGGTAACACTATAAAGCAATTCAGAAGGAAAAACTTAAGACAAACAATTCTGAGCTCTTCTCAAAGACAGAACCAATTATTCTAAAATCTCAAATCCACCTAAAGAAAAAAAAGGAATGATTTCTCCAGTTAATCCTTACCTGAATTCCCATTAATTCTCCCAGCAGCCAGATGAACCTACTTGTTTGCTTGGCAGAGTCAAGGCAAAGCCCAAAGCCCAGGAGTCGCCCCAGACTTCAGGGTTTTCGCTGGTGGAGCCTGAACCCCCTTGATGAATGAAACCGCACGCTGTCATACATGCGTTCTGGGCCAGCTACCAGCTATGTGAGGGCAGCACGTGTGCTCGTTTGATTTGCCGCCTTCAGGGCAAGCCTCTTACATCCCATCACAGAAAAGACTGAAAGGCTCCTGGGTGAGTCAAAACTAGTACGGGTTTGTTTTTCTGTAGCACTCTCCGCAGCACTACAGAAACCACAGGAGAACAAACCACAGTGAGACTCCTTCAGGAGGCAACACCAGTGAAAAAAAGTATAATGTTGACACTGGCAATTTACAAATTAATCTCACACTACTGCCCAAGTTTTTTCATGTTATATGACTGCCTAAGATAGGTATAGGCATGGTACACTTACTTTTAAGCCAAGAATTCTGAGCCGTGATTTTGGAGCTCAGAATTACCTAGGAGTGGTAAAGATTCTCCAAAAAAATTTAATCTTTAGCTTACACTGATGACCAACCAAGTAAATTAAAACCAAGAAAATGAAGTAATGGTGTAACTTATCTTTCTGGAAAGAGGTTTTCAGCATGTAGTCCTTGGACCCTGTGCATTAGAATGACCTAAGTTTGGTCTAGGCATCTCTGGTGTGGAGCCCAGGAATCTGCATGTTAACTAACATTCTAGGTTATTCTTATATAAAGTTTGAAGACCCCTTTTCCTGTTAGTGGAACTGAACAGCAAATGCCACCTTCCCTTACTGTTCAGTTATTTTGTCTTTGATTACTGCTGAAATCAGAAGCAGTAAGAACACTAAAGCCTCCTCACAACAATCTGTGGCTTTAACTCCAGGAAAAAGGAAAGCCAGACTGGGTTCACCTGACTTCACCGGAAAATGCAGTACTCGAGGTTTAGTATGAACATTACATTAAAAGATGCTTCCACGGGGTAAAGGGGGAAAAAAGATGCTTCCACGGGGTAAAGGGGGGAGCACTACAAAAACAAGAGGGGAACAATGAAGAAGAGAGGAGACTAATACTGATTGCTTACTACGTTCCAGGAACCACATCAAGTTTATATATGGTTTTCTTTGCCACAGGAGTCCCACCAAAAAATTACCTCTTCAAAAGCTTATGAACACCCACACTCGTAAGTCTATACCTAAGAACAGAAATGCATGCCCTAAGAAAGATTTTGCTCTGGAAATAATGTCTATCCCCATTATTCTCTGAACATAAAGGATTTTTAAGAAAGGAAGTTGAGAAATACTGTCAGAAATGTATTTGAACTATTATCTTTCCATATTTCTTGGTTTTGGTTCCTTCTTTATTAGCCTAAAACTGTGTGAACTTTTTAGAAAATTCAGTCATTTCCCATCACCTGTTCTCCTTTTTAATTAACCAGCTAATTTACTTCAGTCCCGAGTGCTGGGGAGAACACCATCATTATCATATGAACAGAAAATTGTTATTTGAACATCACTAACAAAACAGAGCAAATTCTGTTTTACCGTAATGAAAAGGTTTTACCTTTTCCTCCAATATGCATAGAGTTTCCAGGGAACTTTCTGGATAAGGGGAGACGGACTTAGGGAACAGCATATTTATGAACAAGCTTTCCATGGGCTCCCCTCCATGATTCAGGATGTGTATGCACTCTGGTATCAGCAGTAACAAAGCTGACTTTGTATTTACACCTTCAATTTTTTAACATCAGCTCATTTAGTGCATTTGATGCTTCAAGTATTGTGAAGAGAAATGACAGTAAATAGTACTCAAATACTTGGTTATGTTCCTAAAATGTATCTATGTTAGTGGTACAGAATTACAACTGCTTTTCCTTTAGAAATGATGTCGCTAATGATAGTTCATACCCGGCTCAGTCCACAAAAACTTGTCACTCATAAGGTATTTGTGTTCCAATACTAGTAATTATGTAAGGAATAAACTAATAGAACTAGGAATGATTTTACTTTTCTGTATACAAATGTTACGTAAGAAAGTTTAATAAGATGAGGATGAATCAGACTGAGACACTTCAGAGATGTGAGAGTTAATGACATTGGTTATCATGCCTTACTTTACTTCCAAACATACTGAGTTCTTTTCCCTTGGTAATGATTATATCCCTGTTTTTGAGCTTATCAGCTATGACTAGTACCATTGGGGGCTTTCCAAAATTGAACAAGGAGGAAAGAATGAAGGATTATTTAAAATGAGGTGGGAAGATCACATGTGGATTTAACTTAAAGGGTGCTATGCTTACATGGCTTTATCTTGGACACTGATGCACAAACCAAGATGCATCACATTACTAAGCAACAATTCTAAAGATACCATGTGAGTCATTACTCACCCATTCACCCAGTTTAGTATCTATTCTCCCTATATGGGGCTTATGGGGAGAAGATAAATTTATAAAAATATTAAATAGGATTATGTATAATAATACTAACACATACTGAGTGTTTATTGTGTGCCTGACAGTGTTCTAAGCACTTTACATGTCATTAACTCATTTGATCCTCTCAACAACCCCATGAAGGTAAATACTAGCATTATCCATGTTTTACAGACGAAGAATCTAAAAAATTAAATCAGTTGCCTAAGAGGCAGAGCCAGTATCTGAACCCAGGAAGTTGGATCCAGTGGCCCCTCCCTACCCCCAAATTGTGTGGTATCCTTACAGTAATACCCCTATCAATTGTGATAGAGAGTCAGACTGACACTGGGAGAACAGAGGGAGAAAATGCACTGAGGTTAACTGGAACCCGAAAGGCAAACCTATGCTATTAACACCCCTGCCTTGACTTTGCTGTATATCCTGACTTCTCCGGCTATTAGAGGGTAATCCACAGTCTATGCCAGAGACAGTGACCACCTTTCACACGTTGATACCATGATACACTCTGTACATGCTTTCCAGCAATTAGCTCCAACTCCATCTTTCTTCCCTCCCTAGAAAATATGTAAGAATGCAACTAAGAGGATCCCTACCTTTCCGTAATGCATCTAAATTCTTATTTATTTGGAAGTTAAGAAGGATTTATCCTA